TTGGCAATTTTTGATGTTATGTCTTCGACTTTTGTTTTGGATCTAACCTAGTCGTTCCTCTTTTTATCTGACAGTCGTATACCTAACATTGCTGTTTTCATTGTTCTTTCTGTTGTAACTAGTTTATTCATTCTTGCCTTGGTTAGGGTTCAGGTTTGACATCCATATGTCATGATAAGAAGGATGCATTGGTTGAAAACTTTGCTCCTTAAGTATTATGGTATTTTGAGATTCTAAAGTATCCAACTAAGTTTTCCAAATCCTGCCCATGCTAGTCTTGCTCTTCTAGTAATTTCTGCACTTTGGTTCTCTTTGTCAGGTCCCAGGATTTGGCCTAGGTAGATATATTCCTGGATTTGTTCTATCCCACTGCCGTTTATGGTGATATGTCTGGAGTCTTCTGTGTTTGCCATTATTTTTGTTTTTTTCATATTCATTTTTAGGCCGACGTATTGGGAGCTGGCTGCTAGTTCCTCAACATAATTTGCAGTTCCTCGAATATGCTCGCTATAATCACTATGTCGTCAGCGAATCTGAGGTGGTTTAACTTGTTGTCATTAACGTTAATGCCATAGGTTGACCAATTTATAGTTTTGAAGACGTCTTCTAGGGCTAGATTGAAAAGCTTTGGCGATAATAATCTCTTAATGGGGATGGGATTTGTATTTTCGTCTAGTTGTACTATCATAGTTGCATTTTCATATATATTATGTATTAGTTGCCTATATCTCGAATCTATTCTAAAATTATTAATATCTGGTTCTATAGCCTACATCTCGATACCATCAAACGCCTTTTCATAGTCGACGAAGGCAAGAAATACCTGTAGTTGGTATTCATTTGCCTTCTTTATCAATGTTCTTATTATCAGCAGATGGTCTGATGTATTATATCCTTTGCGGAAGCCAGCCTGTTTAACCGGTTGGTAATTATCCATTTTGTAGGTTAACCGGTTATTAATAATTCTCATAAATAGTTTGTATACTTGACTGAGCATCGATATAGGTCTATAATTCTGTAGATCACATTTGTCCCCTCTTTTGTGTAAGAGTATTACTAGACTCTCGTTTCAGTCTTTAAGGATCTGGCTATTATGGAGACATCTATTAAATAGCTCTGTTATTACAGGGATTGTTAATGTCTTGCTTGTTTTCAAGACCCCGACGATTATATCGTCGTGTCCTGGAGCTTTATTATTTTTTAGTTCTTTTAAAGCTCTTTCTATTTCGTATCCCTTTATATTTGGTAGTACTTCTGATCCCAAGTTTTTTATTTTTCTTTTGACGTTCTCCTTTGTTGTTTCATTTCATTTCTGCTTTGCTTAGTTTGATCGGTGTTGTGTTATCTACTGCATAAATCACTCAATGTAGGGTAGATATGTCTCAGCTTGCATCTGAAAATAAGTTCTTAAATTAATATCTGATTTTCTAATTGCACACTTACATCCCGCGTCCTGGTATTTTAGGGCCTTTGCGAGGTGTGTTCGTACTTTTCTTTGAAGATTTTCTGTATCCGTTTTTGTCTACTTAACAATACCAAAAAAAAGTTTAGTGCGAAAAATGCGAAAGTGATTAGTACCTTAAACAAATTTTTACTGTTAAGGTTGGTATTAATAAATTGTCCGCGCTTGTTTTATTCGGAGGTATTTATTATCATTTTTATCCATGGCCCTGATATTCCTGTCATTTTACATATTACTTTTACTGAACTAAACCTTTCCTCTAACTATTTTAAGGCGCAACACTTGTCAAGACTGAAGTGCATACCAATATCATAAGAGAAAGTTTCCGCGGTTTTTAATATCTGATCCACGAGGCTTCGAAAAGAATTTAATAGTTTCAAATATCATCCATATACAATATAGATGATTAAACTTCGCCTCTAGAATAGTGTTATTTTTAATGCTAAAACCTTTGTCAGTTGGTTTATCGCTAGACAGAACCACAGTAGACTTATGGAGTCTCCTTATAGTACGCCCCAATTAATTGCAATAATTTCTATTGCGATAATGTTTTCACTAGGTATTTACAGGTAAATTATTATTATTCCATTAGCGTCCACCGTCACTATATGATAACGTAAACTACATGATTTTTAAAAATTCTGTGGTACGCCCATGAAACTATCATCCACATATTTTGAAAACTATCGTTTCTAGGAATACTTCAGGTACCACAAAACGGATTCGTATTTTAGTCTTTTCTCAACCATCTAGAGGTAACAACTTGGGCGCTAATAGGTTAATATTATAATTTGCATATTTTGCCTCTCTTTTCGTAATAAAAACCCCCAGCGCCACCTACCTACAAACACTACTATGTAGTGTAATATGTTAGGTAACTTACTATGCACATACCGCGTGGGTATATGATTTATTTAGGTGTCAGTGAGACGCTGAGGTAATAACTGTTGAATTTATGGCTTTCCATGATAAAAGGTGGTGTGGTCTATGATAAAAGATCTTAGAGGTGGTTGAAGTAAAGTGTTAATTTAAACAAAAATGCTAGGTTTTAAAATTCTAAAAACTATTTGACAGCCCCAGGGTTACACATCCACAGCCAAAGAGTTGGCTGATAATTTGTCAGATGTCGAATATATAGTGGTTTTAACAAGTAAGGGAAAGGTAAGGTTGGTGAAATTATACGACAGCAACTCAGAACTATCCAGGATGAAGATTTTTAAAATTGGAATTTATTAGAAATCCAGGAGTTTAATTATTTATTCCATATTGCAATCATTACAAGATGACAAAAATAAATGTGAATATTTTGTGTAGAAGACTACCATATTAAGACTACCAGCTGCTGAAACTGTGTACTTACTAAACTGTACACTAGAGAAAGTGGAGTATTAGGAAAAAATTCTAAAAACATAAAAAAAATACGATTTATTATGTTAGTTGTAAAATAATATTTTATCGTTGTACTTTTAAGAAATAAATGATTTAATTTAACTATTAATTATTTAGAACTTTACATTAAAAATAAATATGTATCTTCTGAACTTAATCTATACGTTTTTATGCTTGAGACATACAGTGCCTCCGTGCACACCCTTGTGTGAGGGGGAGTGAAAAATAAGTTTTGCATGTTATGAAATTATATGGAAGCCTCATAGTCAGCTGCATAGAAATGATGTTGAAGGCATGAAAAGCTGGATAACGGAGAACTGTCTCTCCTGTTTGACATCAATAAGGGGGTGAGACAGGGAGACGCACTTTTAACCATGCTATTTAACCTAGTTCTTGAAGCTGTCATCAGAAAAACCAATGTAACCGGCCTACACGGCTTGTTTTCTTCCTACACATCTACGGCCCTCTATTTTGCCTTTAAGGATCAGTTATAATATTTTATATCGGCTTCCTCTTACTATATGTTCCAGATTAGACATTCTTCGATGTTTAACCGTCTTTAGCAGTTCTCTATCTTTGTTCATGCTCCTTAGTATTTCTTCATTAGTTTTCCTTGCTGTCCAAGGTATCTATGTTTATTGACAATTTTTTACATAGCAAACACTACGTGTAATATCACAATATAAAATAAGTCACTTATAACCAAGAAATAACACAAGAATACATAACATAACATACAATGAAAAATAGAAATATCAAACAAATATAGTAATATATTACATAAAACTCTAAAATCGAAATTATTTTTTTAAGATTTCTAATTTTTGTAAATAATGCATGTTAAAACATACATTTTTTTTATTTACAGGGTGGAGTAATATAAAAATTTAATTCAATTTATCGGCATTGCGATTGGGCAAAATGGATAAGACAGAAGAAAAAAGGCTTTGGCAACTCATTAAAGAAGTCAGTACAGGATCATCTGAATCTGATGACGCTTACTCAGAGCCTGAGGCATTCAGTAATGATAATAACATCTCAGATCGTGATGATGATGATGATATTGGTAGCTCCAGTGATTTGCAACTAACAGAGGATATCTGGTGTGATACCACAACAGATATTTCTAATTTTCAGTTTGATAATGCTGGTAGTGGTATCCAATATGTGTTTGAAAGAGAAAGAAACTAGACCGACTGCAGCTGAATGTTTTAAAAAGTTTTGGGATGATGACGGTATGAATATGATTGTTACTTTTATGAATGCCTATGCTAACATTTTGAAGACTACCAAAAGACCACACAGACGAAATTATAGATATAAAACTATTAAACCAGTAACTAAACCTGAACTCAAGGTATTCCTAGCTCTGTGTATCCTACAGAGTCACTCCAAATGTCCTTCAATAAGGAAAAGGTTTTCGATGGATCCATTATATTACAACCCAGTTTTTCATCGTCATTTTTTCTGGAAGACGTTTTAAAGAACTTCTAAGGTGTTTTAGTTGCTCTTACGGACAAATTGACGAAAATCTTGATAACAAACTACGAAAGATTACACCATTTTTGACTAGATTATTATCAAACGTTAGAAGTGCCGTGGTTCCTCCAAAAAATTTGTCCTTAGACGAGTCACTAAAGCTATTTCGCGGTCGGTTGAGCTTTCGGCAGTATATTAAAAGTAAAAGCGCTAAGTACGGAATAAAATTCTACTCTGTTTGTACCAGCGATGGTTATGTGGTAAATTTGAAAATATATTCCAAAAAAACAACGGAAGCAACTGGTGTACCAAAACTTGAGCAACTAGTTCTCTCTCTGACGGAGTCATACCTAGATCGTGGACATCATATTTTCATGGACAACTTTTATAATAACCTCTCTCTTGCTAAGATTCTTCTTTGTCGAAAAACCCATAGAACTGATACCTTATGAAAAGATCGTAAAAGAAATCCTGCCGCAATCGTAAAATCCAAGTTAAAGAAAGGTGAACACCGTTGGAGCCGATGTGGTCAAGTATACGTTTCAAAATGGAGGGATAAACGGGATGTTATTTGCATTACCACAAAATATCATCCCAAATTGATTACCGCTAAAAACAGGTATGGCGTTGAAAAGATAAACCTGAGGAAGTAGCTATTTACAACAAGTTTATGCCTGGTATTGACTGTAGTGACCAGATGATTAGTTATTATTCATCTCCGAGAAAAAGTATTAGATGGTATAAAAAAGTAATGTTCGATCTACTAGACATTTCTCTTTGGAATGCATTTTACACAAAAAGAACATTAGACACACAGTTATCGTTCCTTCAGTTTCGCGAAGAAATTGTCAAAGAATATGTAGGAATTGATAAAGATGAGCAAGATGGAAGTAACTTGGCGAAGACGGGACTATTACATAGTGGTAAAAGGCCACGACTGGATCAACAAATAGCAAACAGGAACACTGATTCTGGCATGCACTTTATCGATAAAATACCAAACTCAAAAGATCCAAATAACTCCTACCATTTGATATGCAAACATTGTACATCAAGATATATACTAAAGGAGACCAAGTACCTTTGTAAGACATGACCCAGCAGGCCAGCTCTTTGTGTCGAACCTTGCTTTGAAGATTACCATAGACAATACAATTTTTGTTTTTAATCAATTCGTTCAGGCTCACGCAAATAGACTTTGCTAGGGACAAGACGGTATTTGCCGCTTTCCATTTTTTTGTCAAAAATATATGTTTTTTTCATAATAAATCATGCTACCAATTTTTAATTTTATTTTCGATAAAATGACGTTCCTAACAGAGGTGCGTTTCTATAAACCCTTTGTTATGCCATAGTGTCCGCAAACGTGTTAAGGGGTTCATGACATCCTAATAGCCAAGTATTTAAAGATTTTTTTCGTTTACAATTTAGTGAGAAAAATGAGATTGTCTTCAACTTGTTGCTTACTATTAAGAAGGTACTTATTTATATCTTAACATAAATATTTTTTCTTTAAAAAAAAATAGAAAAGCGATCATAGAACCTTTTCTTTTAATAATCATCAAAAAAATATTTTTCAAAATCATTTGTGTATAATTTAATTTTTATGAATGAATTATTCTTATCATTCTTAATTCAATAATAACTAAAAATAAGAATATTCAAAACATTGTTAATCATAACTGTTTTGATTATTAATAATATATACTTTTTTATTTCGTTCTTCTTACAGTTGTTAATAAACATATTTTCTCATTCAAGTCACTTGTAGTATTCTTTATTGAACCTTTATTTCAGTTGATAGGAATAACAAAAAAACTGCCAGTTTTGTATTTGTCTTAATTAGTTTTGAAAGACAAAATGTTGATGTGCAATAGTGGTACAAATTAAAATAAGGGTTGAATTTAAAATTTTGTATTTCAATTAAATAAATGCTACCTAACGCTCTCCAAAATAAACCAAAATTTATTTTTTTATGTAGTAAAGAAAATAAGACAAAATTATTGGCACACAAACTTTAAAGCTCCTATAAAATGAGGCTGAGTGCAATAACGGACCAACCCACAAAAATTCAAACTTTGTTTTATTGTAGAATATTAACCGTCTAGTTAAAATCTATCAGCTGCATAGTGGACCAATCCACATTGTTCCATTGGTTCCTAGATGGCTGCACTAAAGTAGTTTTGGAATATATATATTCATTCTATATATTTATATAATATATTTATTCTATTGATATAGATTTCGATGAAGATGCTACAAGGAGAGGTGAGTAGGTATATTTTATAAATAAAAATAAAAAAGTATGAAAGGAAGAAACATTGTTTCTAGTTTATGATTTTATTTTATTTTTCTTAGATAGTTTTTAATTTCAAATAATTTAGTTTTTTTATATTTTAATTTGCTTTTAATAAATTAAGTTGCTATTCTTAAAAATGTGATGTAAGTAGAGGAGAGGTAGGTGTATTTTGTAAAGATAAATAAAAAAAGTACGAAAGTAAAACACGTTGTCTCTAGGTTATGATTTAATTTTGTTTTTCTGGGATAGTTTGCTTTTAAATAATACTATTTAGTTGTTATTCTTAAAAATTAGATTAAAAAATTTCTCTATGGTTCTAATTTGTGCGTTTTGTTGCAGGCGGCTCAGCCTCAGAATCAGATCCATATGTGGATTCTGGATCGGAGTACTTGCCTTCGGATGGAGATTTGGCGGAAACTAATAGGGACGTGGAAAAGGGTAACGATACAGAAGCAGATATCGACAGAGCGAAACCAACGACATCAAGTAAGCCTAAAAACCGTGTCCGCAATCCTAAAAAATTGAAGAGAAATATAACCAAAACAAAAAGTGTGCTGGACAAGATTATGAGACTAAATCGAGTAAAATTGTACATTATAAATATTTTAAACCATTTGAATGTAAATGTAAAGGAAGGTGTTCATTTTTGATTCCAGCAGAAAGGCAAATGGAACTGCATAACAACTTCTATACTTTAGAATCCTATGACTTGCAAACTGCATATTTATTTGCTCTGATTAAAGTCGTTAATAAATTGCGTAGCTACACTCTGAACCCAGAATTTAAGAGGGAAAAAACCAGACTTTACTTTTTACCCAGTCAGGAAGGTGTGAAGCATAAGGTGTGCAAACCATTTTTCCAAGCGATATTTCAAGTTTCTGCCGGTAGATTAGACAGACTGCTCAAATGTAAGTCCATAGGAACACCACCACCTTGTGATAAACGTGGCAAACATCCACCGCACAATAAAACATCTGACGCAAAGAAAATGGAACTAAAGAAGTTCATTGAAAAATTTCCATGGTACGAATCACATTATGAGCGGAAAAAAGCAACCATAGGAAATACTTGTCTCCGGATTTGAGTCTCGGTAAAATGTATAAGTTTTATTTTATCTTCTGAGAAACGTTCAACAAGGAATATAATTTACACTTTCATCCACCAATTACTGACTCTTGTAAGAAGTGTGATTTTTTTGAAGTTAAAATAAAGGCAGTCACTAGTGACTCAAGTAAACAACTCGAAACTGAAAAAAAACTTCATCAAAAGAAGGCGAAGAGTGCTAGAGATTCTTTAAAAAGAGACACCGAAATGGCAAAAAATGGAAACGCATCAGTCATCTGTTTCGATCTAATGAAGACTTTACCTACACCTGTGCTTACCGAAGGAATTTGTTACTGCAAGCGGCAATTATGGACCTACTGCTTCAATGTTCATTAAATAGGAACTAACAACTCATTTATGTTTGTGTGGGATGAAACCGTCGCCTCTAGGGGTCCTCAAGAAGTAGGATCCTGCATCTTATTTTACATAAAAAATTTCGTAAAATTGAAACGACTTATTATGTATTCTGACCAATGTGACGGTCAGAATCGTAATAATAAAATGTCATTACTATGCAATTATATAACTGCATCTCCAGATTTTACCGTGGAAGAAATAGACCACAAGTTTCTAATAAGTGGTCATTCTTACTTACCGTCTGACCAAGATTTTGGTATAATAGAAAAAGAAAAGACATTCCACCCGCATGTATTTATACCTCAAGACTGGCATACAGTGATAAAGCACGCTAAATTTTTTCCTATAAAATTGCTTAAAAATAATACAATCAACAGGAAAGTTTCCGAATCAAAAACCAAGGTAGAGTGGCTTAAAATTCAATGGTTAAGGTTTAGGAAAGACTTTCCCAATACTATCCAATATAAGTATTCGAACAATAAAGATGTGTATTTTGAAACAGTGGATCTTAATAAAAGGAAACCTGTTTTCAAGAATACAATGGAATTGCCACTTCTGTATCCAAATGGTAATACCATTAACAAAGTTTTTTAAAAAATATTCTTCAGTTAATGGAATTGATACCCTCTATACACCATGAATTTTATTAAAACCTGAGATCTTCAGCGCAAGCAGCCGAAGGTGAAGTAATTGGCCCATTTGACGACGAAGAAGATTAGACATTCTAACTTCTGATAACTTTTTACACATTCTGTGATAATAAAGTCTTTGATGTAATATTGAGTGTATTATTTTGTGGGATAACCCATTCACTAACTAAAAATATTTTAAATGCAAAGTGGACCAACCCACTTTAAAAAATCGAATATAGGTATTTATCCAAAATTTATTATCAAATTTATTCAACGAGTAATATATGTATATGTATATATATATATATATAATATATATATATATATATATATATATATATATATAGTGGCACAACATAAAAACTGGTAATTATTTGAGGCTATGAGTGCAATAACGGACTAACCCCAATATTAGTAAGGGTTAGAAAATGGGTTTGAAAAAAAGTGAAAATTAGGAGATCAACCATAACCTTGTTAAAGAATATTTTTTGGTTTGAATGAATGGAATTATATATATATATATATATATATATATATATATATATATATATATATATATATATATATATATATATATATAAGGATCACTCAGACGAGTGGTGGGTTCTTATATCGGTCTCTAGGTGGAGAAATAAAAGACAAAGTTGATAGGCTACTTTATCTATTTTGAAGACGTTTCGCTTTCGAGTTTTGAAAGCATCATCAGTTCATCTAAAAAATTATTACAATATGAGAACCACACAATCATGGAAACGATGTTAATTGTTACCTTAAAAGATATGTAGCAGTCAATGTTATTAACAAATATGTGAATGAAACTAAGTAAATGGACATAGTACGCTGATCTTGTATAAACAGTTAAGCAACTAACAACATATATGAACTTGTATAAAAATTAGCACAGCAATTGACCATGTGGTCCAAAATAAATTCAATGTTATTTATATTAATAAGTGAGAAAGAACCAAGAAAATCATAAATAACCTCCAACTATTTAATGGATATTAAACTTTGATTTTAACTTTAGGTAGCATTATAAGTAATATTAATAAAATTATATATATATAATTTAAATTATATATAAAATAATACAAACATTGTAATTGATTCATAGAATCCTTTACAAATCACAGCTCCAAGTATATTGAACCTTGGGCTGTATGGAAATTATAATATCGTTAATCACCTGACTATTTAACTTGCCACATGATTAACGTCTTTACATTATTATGAGTTTGAATGCAAATCTCCGTTTGTAAATTTGGGCCGGTTAGTGAGGGGAGTTGAGTGTACACTACCAACTTTTTTCACTGTTGTTGTCCTTTACAACCTGGAAGTCATCCAGACTCAGTTATAAAATATAAAAATTAAATTAACCGCCCAAAATTCTGGGTTGGTATTTACACCTTGTTGATCTGTCAAAAGTAATTTTGACCTCAAGTTGGCTGTCTTTTTGCGGTTAGTTCGTTCCTGTTTCATCTAACGCCATTTTCACGGCGACATCCATAAGGCTTTGATCGGTAACTTCATATTCACTATTTTGTAGAATTTTATTAATATTACTTATAATGCTACCTAAAGTTAAAATCAAAGTTTAATATCCATTAAATAGTTGGAGGTTATTTATGATTTTCTTGGTTCTTTCTCACTTATTAATATAAATAACATTGAATTTATTTTGGACCACATGGTCAATTGCTGTGCTAATTTTTGTACAAGTTCATATATGTTGTTAGTTGCTTAACTGTTTATACAAGATCAGCGGACTATGTCCATTTAC